AATATTTAAAACATCAAAAGTCTCCTACACAGTCATTAACACGAGGTCAAGATCTAATAAGATAAAAAAAAGACATATTTGCAAGAGTTCATTCAGTTTCACCATCAAATAGAGAACGTTAAATGTTGTCAAATGTTGTGCGTGTGTGTTTCAGTGCTGCATTTCTGGGTGCAAAAGGTCAAGTTTGAGCTGCACATTTTCAGATGGCAAAGATAATAAAGAAAATGAGCAGAGGTGTGCATGAGTCTTTGTGGGGTTTCTGAGAATCAGCACCACAGAAACCTGTCGTAATCGTGACCTTGTCGTAAAGAAAGATCAGATCAGAAACAATTTATTTTTCGGCATAAATAGAAAGTTGAGTCAGAACACAGAGACAGGATGCTGAACTTAGTCAGATACCCGAGTCAGTAAAAATAAAGTCCATTATAAGTGTGTATAAATACACAGTAGAAATTATTGTATGAACGGGTGAATAAAAAAACACTGTGAATCACTTTAAATCATTAGAGATTAAAACAGTGCCATAATTATAGAGCATTTAGGAATATAATCAGCCAACCCTCAATATTTCATCTCCCGGTCAGTTTACAGTGTTTACTCTGCTTTTATGTGACTGTGGAGCTGGGAGCAGAGACAACTTGTTTGCTTTTCCCAGCTCTGTTTGGTCTTCGTTTTTAGTGTTAAGATCAACCGTCCGAGCAATAAATACAATCATTTAGATCAACTTATGTTCAAGTCTGAATTGGATCATAGGGGATTTTTTTTAAATGATAATCTCAGTAAATTATTGGAGAGCTGCTTGCAGTCATCTTCTGTTATTTTTATAGTATCTCCATCACTTCCTTCCTGTTTTCCATTAGGCATGCAACCACAGTATTACATGAGCCAACGTTTGGGTATTTTTAGACCTCCAGCCAGGGCTTGAACTTTTCTTTTTCACTTTGGCAGTCTGACTTCCAGTGCACAAAACAGTTGACAATGATTAAAGAGAAACACGAATAACAAAACATACACTGTATATATATATATATA